AAAATAGTGTAGACAAAAAATTAGTATAGAGGTATCTATATATAAAAAATTGTTATATATATTCCTTAAATATTTTCATCTAGAAAAACAAATATTTGAACAATGAAAATTGTCATCTCATCAACAACAGCAAATGAATGTACGATAAAGAATGAAATGCGAAATGCACGCCAAAATCAAATGCTTAATTAAAATGTATAAAATATGTATTATTTTAATGAAGCTTAACATAAATGGGCAAAAACGTCAGGAATGACATGCGTAATTTATAAAGAAAATGTAAACTGGGATAGGTTAGGTGTTTTTTTTTTTATTTTTGTTTTTTTTTAGGGAACACCTGTGTATGGGTAATGTCCATTTGGTTTGGTGGTACATTGTGACGTATGATTGCTAACATAAAGTCCCTAATTGTGCTACAATGTGACGTATGATTTATAATTATTAAAAATATATATGTAATTAAATCACCTTATGAACAAAATTTATGAAATCGAACGATAGACCAGAGTATTAGCTTATTTCTAATACTTCTCTGTAAATAGGTGGATTAAAAAGGCCCAAGCTGGATAAATAGGGCGATAATTAGATTTATTAATGGAACGTGTCAAAATTTGGAAGCGATCGCGTTATTGGTTTCTGAGTTATCGTGCCCGCCATTGACAAACAATCACCGCTTTGAGAAAAAATGCGTTTAAAAAGTTTGAGAAGCACTCAAATTCGTCACTTGATGTTTACACAATAAATCGGCTATATCTTCAAGAGCTGTTGAGTTGAAGCCCCCTAATAATTGAAGCCCCCTAATCATTTTTATATTTCAGGAATTACAGAATTTTCAGTGAAAAACCATTAGTTATTATGACCAAAAATATAAGATAAAAGGAATTGAAAAAATATTGCTTTGTAAAGGACATGAAGACATTTACAAATAAACATGGACATGATCCGTAATCGTATTAACGTAGTAGAACAAAAGTAATTATCGAAATTGAATAATGATTTGTTGATGATTTGGACTAAGGTCTGAATGTGATCAATCGTAAAATCCTCGGGATTTTCCGTTGTTATGACATAGATCCATCATATTACTCAGCTACACTACGGAAGACTCTCTTCAGCTCGTCTATGAAAGATAGCGATACATGTGGACCTGCAGACGGCGAACAGGTGCAAAGTGGAAGGATGATCCTTCAACAGTGACTATGCGGTACAGGTGCAAAGTGGAAGGATAATCCTTTAACAGTGACTATGCGGTACAATCTGGAGGACGCAATTGAGTACTGCTTCTCCAAGACATTGTGCCATGTCTTATAGCTATTCCTCCAGGCACCGGACATATATCTTAACAATTCATTCTATTTTATCTATTTTAAACAAAAAATATGTATCGAATTGTTGAATGGGTTCCTCTACTCCGGACATAAATTTCGGTGGGGATTTTTTGCTTTCTGAAAAAGTGTGTGTTTACAATAGAGGCGGGGTCTTTCCTTTTCAATTAAATCATTTCTTCAGGCTACCTGCTATAGATATTCCCAATAAAGGCCGGCATATAAATGTCCTAATATTTAGAAGGTCCAAGTCGAATCTTCCAGCTTATTATACTACTTTGCTACGGCAAAATATGGCTAATCGAAATATTTGTTTTAGACCCCATGGTTCCTTGGACCGAATACGTTTCAGACAGTTTGGAGTCGATTTCGTCTGGCTGTCAGGATGGTGCGTCTGGCTGTCAGGATGGTGCGTCTGGCTGTCAGGCTGGTGCGCACGATAACTCTTCATGGGATTAACCGATTTCATCCAAAACATTTTCCAAACTTAGTTTAAGTTCAAAGATGGCGAATATTGGTCCACTCTTTCTGGTATCTCCTTCACAAAATTGTCAACATTTAGCCGAAAATTATTTTCTAATATCATGTGAACGGATTGTTCGATTTGAACCAAGCTTTGCACAACATATTATCTTTAGCAAGCTTTGATCGCCTGAAGATGAGATTCCACTCGTTCTGATACCTCCTCGACAAAGGGTCATGTTAAATATTTATAAATATAATCTTAGGCGAATGACAATGCACCACCTGGTATCTCTTTACCCGTCAGTCTTCTACTTCTGGTACCTCCCACACAAAGGGGCGAATGACAATGCACCACCTGGTATCTCTTTACCCGTCAGTCTTCTACTTCTGGTACCTCCCACACAAAGGGATAAACTTTTCAATATTCATAAATAGAATATTAGCCAAACTTTGCACAACTCATTATCTTTATGATGTGCAGATCTAGTCCGAGGATGGGACACATTTTTTCACTCGTTCTGGTACCTTCCCTACAAAGGATCAACATTTTCAATATTTATAAACCCAATATCAGGCGAATGGAATGTGCGATTTGAACCAAACTTTGTACAGCCTTTTATCTTTAACTAGCCTAAATCAGTTCCAAAAATAGGACCCATTGGTCCACTACTTCTCATACCTCACTCACAAATGGTCAACATTTTCAATATTCATTAATCGAATATCAGGTGAATGAATGGAATGATCGATTTGAAACAAACTTCGCAGAACTTATTATTTTTACAAAGCCTGGGTCAAGTCCGAAGGTGGGACCCGCTGACCCTCTCCTTCTGGTATTTCCCCCTTTAAGGGTCAATATTTTATAAACTTGTAAATTTAATTGGAAACGAATATAATAATTTACAAGTTTATAAAATATTCACCATTTAAGGGGTCAACATTAACTCAGAAACCTCTTTAATAAAAACCTTATATAAAGCGAATAATAAAATCTATCTGCAAATTCGGAGACCTCCGCATACCATAGCCTGGGTTACTATAAATATTTCTGGCCTTTATACGACGTACATTAAGAAGTGTGTGAACTAATAAAGCGAGATTATTTACAGTGTGAAAATCCACTGGGTATTTTCCGCCAGTATTCATACCATATTGCAAGAACGCCTGGACGTAAATCCCGCACAATTCGCTCCAAAAAGTTTTGCGTCTAGCTAAAAAAATTATAATCGCCGTATAATGTCATAGGTAAGAAAAGCTGCAATCGACCGAGTGGGTCTTCAAAGACGAGCCAAATCTTACACAAGTTGTTGGTGGAAAAAGCATTTCGAAGCAAATTATCATCAGATCCGCTAAAACAAGGTAAGGTTGTTTAATTCAATTTTTTATTAAAAAAATCTCTATCTCTCTCTCTCTGTCTCTCTCTCCATCAGGACGCCGGACCAAAAATAGAACACTTTTTGCGACAATTCCTATTATTTTATTCATATACAAATGCGTCTGAGTCATATTAATTCGATTGGAAAAAGGACGCCTAATGGAAGGAAATGTGACAAAGTCTGGAATACGAACAAGATGCATTATAAAGTTGTTACAGGAAAGGACCGAATTCCGTCGGTGTCCTCCTTGGGCCATTTACACGACATCGGATGAAATATAATGAGGAAGTTATAAACCCTCACATTATTTTCCGAATCGCTACAATCTGCGAGCAGCACCGTTTCGAAACCAAACGTGGCCCACGTTACACTGGCGCCCACAGTAAAGCACGTTCCATTGACGTGCAACGTGGAGCCCCTTACATCGACGCCCACACACACTGATTGAGAAACTGTAGAAGTTGCTCTGGTCCTTGTAAGGAGTGAGTTAATTGAAAATTTATAACGCAATTTCTGCAAAATCGATATATTGCGAGCTATATAAGAACGGATTATCACCACTTTTCACCTTTGGGACAAAAAACGGAGCAGTGCCATGGTGCATCACCTTAGAATAATAACTGAGCTCTACACTAAGTACATATATCCTCAAAAGTAACTATGGGTCTATCGGGTTTTCTTCTGCATGTTTTTAAACATATGCTCAAATACGCTGCATCTATTATCGAAATTATAACTGGTTTTTATGCTATCCATCGATTATATATACCTCAAAAGTATTTTTCCGATGCCAATTTATATAAATCATACGTCAACTTATTTTAAACCTCAAACAGTTTTGTTGTTATTTTATATTCTTACCCGTTGGAAACATATTTTCTAATATGTATATGTAACAGAGAAAATGAAATGCCAAGGATATGAAGAAGTTCTCCAAGGAGAAACATGTAAGCTAACACCTAATATTGATTTCATGATAAAATGTCGATGATGACATTATGAACTTGAATACATTTATCTATAGAAAAAATACATGTATTTTTTGTTTTTGTTGTTGAATTGTTAGCAAAAATGTGTATATAAAAATTTATTATATCAAAAAATCATCATTTACTCGTTTAAAGGGATATCGTAAGCCCAGGTTTAACTGTTGTGTTGTTTTCGTTCGGTGTTGTTATTATTGTAGTTGTAGTTGTGGAGGTGTTCATGTGTGTTTGTTTGGTTTTTGGTTAGAATTGCAAAAAAAAAAAAATCAAATTTAAATATTCGTAAAAAAATCAACAAATAAAACAAAACACAAAAGAAAACAAAGAGGAAAAGACGAAAAAACAACAACAATAAGAATTCCAGTAAATTATATATCACACACACATCAATCAAATTGAAAATTTATTTTCTTATTTATTATATGAAAAGAATGAAAAAAATATTTTTGTCTGGTTAAATGTTAGTTAGTAAATAGAAGATAAAACATTGTCATGCATTAAAGAATTGATTTCGAATCATCATTTTTTTCTTCTTAGGTTTCTTTGTATAACAAATTAAAATGTAATTATTTCCATTATGGTATACTAAAGAAAACAAAACAACACACAGACACATGTATTGAAACATGCTTTTCATTTAAAAAAATTCTCTTTTTTGTTAAACAAAGAAAAAACTAAATATTTATTTTAATTGAAAACTGATCGTTTATCACAATCAATTTAAATCAAGAAATTGTGGAAACTAAAAAAATTGGAAATAGTTATTTTGCTTTTAGAAAAGCCAATTAGAAGAAATATGTTTTTCTTGGGTAATTGTTTTTGTCTACTATTTTTAACATTTATCTTACCTGTTTGAGCAATAAATCACTGTTGGCCGATAGACATGTAACCAGGTATTTGGTTAGATTCAGGAATGATCCCAATACTTCGAGCGTCAGATGTTCCCGTGACGAACGTTGCAGCATAAATGATATAACTAAGAAACCACGATTTTGTATCATATGCTGCTGTACGGTTTGTGAGGTTTCAACAAGTTCACAAATGAAACCTAACAGTTTGGAACTGGAAAGAAGGGGAAGACATAGAATTACAATTAAATTACAAAAAATATAAATAATACATTTTATACATGACTACTGGGCGTATTATATATATATATATATATTTCAAATATAATGCTCATACGCCCACATGCATTGTAATAAATATCAGTCATACGACCCAAGGGCCTGCAATATTTGCAATTAGATGACGCCATTAGAATTACATCAACTACGACTATAAAAATCGGTCAAGGCAATGTTACAAGTCAGTAACATAAAGACCAAATGCTTCTGATCTGGTTCAAAAACTGGATTTAAATAATATTTTGTCCTGTCAAGAGATAATTGCCAAATCGAAGAAATTTTTCAGCAAAGGACAAATCGTACTACAAAAATGGTCTCCACAAATTGTGGAAGGGATTTCTCTTTAATAAATAAGAATTGCGTTTTAGTATGGTAAGGCAGAAAATTGGGTTGCTAATGCTGAGGTCTTAGGTCCTAAAATATCAAATAGAGAAATCCAAATATTCGCAAAACCAACATATGTCGGTTATATATACGCCCATGTTCAAGACTGCACCTTAACTCTTGAGTTCCCATTTTTCATTGTCAAAAGAAATATTTCTCTATACCCTTTCATTCGAGATTTACAGAAGATAATCAGGCGAAGCATGTTCAAAAAGCACTACAAATTGTTCCTTAGAGTCTACTATTCTATAATGAAAAATAAATTTAAATGTCATAAAATTCTACGGAGTCAAAATTGATTTCTCCGTATTTGGGAAGCACCGTATTTATTTTTGGAAGAATGGCTTTAATATTTCCATAACACCCAGAAACAAAGTAGTGATGCCTTTGTCAAAAGTATGGATCAGGATCTTAAAAGAAAGTGGAAAAGATTTTTATATAATATATGTGAAACATGTTCATATCTTTACAATTTCTTTTCTCGAAGTACTTTATCCTCTGAGAAGCTGAAACATAGGAGCTTCACAGTAACTAAATTGAAGTTCATAGGGAAAAGAAGCATTTTATGAAAAGAAGCCTTCTGAAAGCTATAAAATACGTCAAAATGATAGTGTTTCAAAAAGAATGGCTACTGTTATCATAGACCCAAGATAAAAGTTTGAATTAATCCTCAGGGTGGCGTATAAGTATTGACAACACGTATACTGAAACATTAAATTAAAGCCACTAAAAGTTTGTAAGAAAAATGTGGCGCAACCGTTATATGAAAATCGTGTCAAAAAATTGAGATTTCTCTATATGGAAACTGCGTAAAACAATGGCCAAATTGATTACATTCTTCTAAAAGTTTTTATCCTATAAGGAATTGAAATGCCAATTTTTCAGGCACTTCGGTAGGGAAAGTAGTTTAAGACCTTTTAAGTAGCTAAGATAAGTCGGGGTTCTTAAAGAAATGCTATGCCAAAACATTGGTCTATATTGAACATTTCTTGCGAGAAGGTAATTTTATTTTACTTTATTTAACCCGCAATACCAACTGATATCCACTTAGGGTATAAAATGAAGTTCGCACCTTCGAAATACCTATACGAATGTATGCGTAGTATGTAAAAGCTCTGTCGTAATATTTTTGTCTACCTAAAGGTTCAACATAATTATTTTGCTAAATTTAAATATCTAAAAATGTCTATAGGAGAAGACATTTGCTATCTGGAACACATATCCTGAGAAGATTTCTGGTACTGATGAGCTTTTTCCAAGAAAACATTTACAGCTGAACATTCTTTTAAAAATCAGTCTTCTATAAGAGAACAGCCCTTTTATTAAAAGTTTCCCTGATTACCCTCTGATAAAACTGTCGAAAATCAGACATTATAACATAGACTGGAGCTACCGCGAAACTTCAATATGAGCGGATTATGTACATCAAAAAATCAGTATTTTAATATATACTCAGCCTAAAGGCTAATGAAAATGGTATGTGATTATATCAATCGATTAAAGATATCCTAATATTTTTATTAAACCTATGTAAAATCCGAAAATAGTTGAAAAAGTTGAACATCGTTTATTATTGACTCATAAAAATTATTTAAATTTATACACAGGGTGACGTATAAGTATTGTTAACACGTATACGTCACATGCCAACTAAGACTTGCTGTGAATAGGTAACTGCGAAAATAATTTAATTGGGTCTGGTAATTACTTAATTTTCCTATAGGGTTTCTATTTATAATCAACATAGATTCTGATGGGGTTTTTTTCAACGAAAACATTTCCAATTACATAAGAAACATTTCCAATTTCTCATAAGAAAAGCTTATAGAAAAGAAAAGACTTTTGATAAACATTTCTTCTGATAATCCGCTGAGAAAATACGATAAATCTGACATTATCAAATACACTGGTTTATCATCATTATCGCTATTAGCAAATATTTGACGGCGAAATTACAGGGAAAATCCAATATGAGCGGATTATGTACTTTAAAGAGTCAGTTTTTAAATATACCCTCAGCCTACTGGCTAATGAAAACTCCACCACCATAAAAATATCGAATGTATACCGAATGTATACCAAAAATGTTATTAAGACTGCGTTAAATCCGAAAATATTTGATAAATTTATGCATCGTTTATGATTGATTCAATAAAACAATTTAAATAAATTCTCAAGGTGACGGATAAGTATTGACAACACTCATACGTCACATGGCAACGAAACTTTTAGTGCGTTCCTATTCGCAGACTGCTTAAATATGGGACGTCCTGTTCAAAACTGATTTTAACTAATACTCAATGTGGGTATACATATTGACAACACGTATACATCACAATTATGATTTTTGTATATAGTTATTTAATTTGACCTAGAAAATATTTAATTCTTTTGCTATGGGTTCTATCAACATTTATTTAATGCAAACATAGGTTCAACCCTCTACACAAACGACAAAATCTACTAAAATTTTAAAATGAATCTCCGATTCAATTTATTTTTTTAGTTAACAAAACTGAGGGCAGAATTTGAGAGTAAAACTGTCCAACAGGTGGATTTCTAAATACGTGGTGATTAATAAGTTTAATTATGCCCCTTTGCCCAAGATAAAAATTTTACATATATTTAGTGAAAAAATCGACTATATAGGTTCATCCTCTCTGGTACCTCTGTACAATTTTTTTCGGTTAACTTTAATAAGGAAGAGTCATGGAGTGCAATTTTTTCCGATAACGACTGATAATAGATTGATTTAGGTTTGATTATGACCTTTTAAAAGTACTTAACCAGTTTCAATTAATATGACTCATACGCCACATTCGCTTAATAATACTAATATTTTCATTGAACTTTTAAACTATAAAACCATTGGAAAAGTTTTCCATTGCATTCTTACATAACTTCTATATAAAAATAGGGATAACCTTACCACTACAATAATAATAATAATAATACTGCTAAGAAAAATAACAAAAACAACAACTACAACAGAAAAGTATCATAACTTTATGATGACTCTTTAGCTAACCACCGGCACTAGAACGTCATCATTGTTATGAGTGGAGCGTACACAACATCTTCAAAGTTCTTCTTGATGATATTTTAGACAACTTCTTCTTCGTCGTCTTCTTGTGGAAGGCAAAGTTATACGAGACTTGAAGTTATTGTTGTTGTTGTTGCAGGGTGTGTCTCCTCAACCAGAGACACCGACCCGATAGAATTTGTGAAAAACTTAAATACAAAACTTTTGAAGATAAAAGATAAACTTACCATAACGTTGGATCACGTTTTATATCGCTAATACCCTCATGAGCCATATCCAATTGTGAGAAGAGTGGAAATAAAACTTGTATGCCACCAATTGAATTCAATGTACAGTGTATGGAATGTGTAACAACAGCCTTAACATCCTGGAAAAGAGAGAAGAGCAGAAAAAAAAAAACAAAAATAAGATAAATATCAAAAAGAACACAAATGCAAAAATATGTAAAGAAATATTTAAAAGATTTGTCTTGAGATTTATTTAAATACTTTGTTTTGCTGTTGAAGTTACTTGGGGTAGTTTTTTTCGTTTTGTTTCATTCTTTGTTTGACTTTGTAACCAAACAGTGCCTAGATGGTGGAGCTACACAGAGAGGCTTGCTTTTAAGTAGCTCCTTAGAGACTTAGCAGAATGAAATTCAAAAACAAAACAACGAAACAAAAAAATACATTTTCGGGGAATATGACAGACCGCAAAAGTTAAAACTTAAGCCGAAAAAAACCCGGCATAGCAAACAACTTAACCTGAGGCGGAATGTGTCTCATTCCCCTTCCCCTTTGGTGTTGTATTTCACCATGGGTAGGGGTAATGCAATGACATAAATGTATCATCTACAAAAATTCTCCAGAGATTATAGTTCAAACAACAGCATCGAAGAGTAAAAGGGGGCGAAACCGGGAGAAATTTTGAAAACTTCAACTTGACTGTTGCCAAATTTAACTTCCGTAAAATTTCTTCGTTTCGTTTGCCGACTTTCGTAAGAGCATACAATTTTAATAATGCCTGTGCGCGCTCGATTGTTGTGTTTTGTGCCATGCGGTATGACTATAAAATAATGAAAAAAAAAACAACACAACAACAGTATAAAACTTTCGAGTTTCATGTCTTGCAAATGAAATTCCTTAAGAAATATGTATGTAGGTATGCAAAACACGAAATAGTGTTGAGCAGCATTTCAGAATTGTAAAGACGGCTATAAAATACGTGAAATTTAACAACAGAAAAGTTCATTGAGCAATAAAGATGCAACATCTTTTTTTTGTTATAGATCCGAGATAGAAAATATTTTTAATTAATTTCCAAGGTGGCGTATAAATATTGACAACACGTATACGTCACATGGCGACTATGAGTTTTAGAGTACGGTGGAGAGACAAATATGAAATTAATTTAATTTGTTTAATAGGATTTATGTTTAATGTAAAAATAATTTAGAATTTGGTTGATTTATATATCGGCCTTGTATTGAAATTTTCTTGATGCAATTCTGCTTCAGAAAAAGCGTTATAAAATTGCCATTCCATGTACTGTTAAATCACTATAATCCGGACGTTGCTAATACAGATTATACGGTTTTCCATAATACTCATTACTTATTTAATATTCCCAATTATTTGACTTCAGTTAAATGGGTACGCAAAACTATTACATTAACATTTCAATTTAATTCCAGAATAGCGTATATGTATGTAATGATATCACTTATACGCTATGAACTATGAGAAGTTTAGTTTTTAAAGGTTAGATTCGTTGGAATTTAAGTACAATGTCCAGCTAAATATTTCAATAAAATCATACGGTGACGTATACGTATTGACAAAACTTATACGCCACCTGTTAAATTTGATATTAATATTTGGTAGGTATTTATTTAATGGTTTAATTGGAATTTTACAGTCGAGAACAATGTTCACATACAAATATGATAAAAAGTGCTTTATGAAATTAGAATAACTAGAAAATAGATGACGCATCAGATGAACATTTGAATTTAATGACAGGATGGCGTATACTTATACGCCATCAGAACTTATACGCCATATGAGAAGTTTAAGGGGACCCCCCCATTTTCGGGGTCAATTTTTTGATTTAATTCAATTCTACACTAATTCAAGAATGTCTCTACTCTTGAAGATATAGCCGATTTATTTTGTCAGCATCAAGTGACGGCTAAAGGGCTTCTCAAACTTTAAACGCGTTTTTCTCTTTTGCAAATGGCGGGCACAATAACTCAAAAACTAATAACCCAATCGATTCCAAATTTGTACACGTTTCTCTGTGAGTGTATAGCTATCGTATGAACTAGGATAAAGCCAATCGGTGAAGATCTTCCTTATTTTCTAACTTGGTTTTTGGTCAAAAATCGGCGATTTCCCAAAAATATTTTTTCAAAGGTCCACCATTTTGTTAAATTTAGAGCGAAGTCAATAATCCTAGTTCATACGAGAGCCACACATGTATTCTTTCCAACACCGTTGGAATTTTCGGATTCCGATGTTCCAGAGAGGAGTTATCATGCCCGCAATCAAAAATAAGGACTTTTCTTTAAGGGGACCCCCCATTCTCCGGGTCAAAAATTTTGTTGATATAATTCGAATCTACACTAATTAATAAATGTCCCTACAAAATTTCAAGTGAAAATCTCAAGAACTCTTGAAGATATAGCCGATTTATTGTGTCAGCATCAGGTGACGGCTGAAGGGCTTCTCAAACTTGAAACGCGTTTTTCTCTAAACATTTTTTTGTGTATGGCGGGCACGATAACTCAAAAGCTAATAACCCAATCGATTTCAAATTTTTACACGTTTCTCTGTGAGTGTATTGCTATCGTATGAACTAGGATAAAGCCAATCGGTGAAGATCTTCCTTATTTTTTAAGTTGGTTTTTGGTAAAAAATCGGCGATTTTCCAAAAAATATTTTTTCAAAGGTCCGCCATTTTGTTCATTTTTGAACGAAAACAATAATCCTAGTACATACGAGAGCCAGACATGTACTCTTTCTAACACCGTTGGAATTTTCGGATTCCGATGTTCCAGTGAGGAGTTATCATGCCCGCCATCAAAAATAAGGGCTTTTCTTTAATTACAAAAAAACAACAACAAAACAATAACAAAAATTTTTTGTAAATTACATTAATTTTGTAAACAAAGTTACAAACCTTTCCAAGCTTTGGGATGGATTTACCAGCCCATCAAAAATCTTGAAAAATTAAAATCGTGAATGGTGGGGGGGGGGGGGGGGTTCCCTTAATTACAAAAAACAACAACATAGCAATAACAACAATTTTATGTAAATTATTTTTCTTCTCTTTTAAATCTTCAAATATGAATGTGCCCATTTAAATCTTGAAAAATTAAAATCGAGAATGGGTGGGGTTTCCTTAATTTTTTTAGAGTTAAGGTAAACTTTGAGCTATATTCATCGTCTGAATTTTTGGTGCTTCATAAGAAGAAAGTTTGTTTCGAAAAATAGTCGTACCGAAACTATTTCTAAATATCTTCGGTTTGGAAATTTTGCTTAGAACTTAAAGCTTTAATCAGGGGAATCTATATTTGCGAAGTATTTGGTCATGTGTTAAGCTGAGATTAACACAAAAGATTTTAATATTTTGAAACAGAGATTCTAGAAAGTTATCTTTGTGTAACTTTCTTCCCGAAGAAAACATATGAGAATAGTAAATATGTAAGTGGCCTATTTGTATTAGAATTTATACCAATGTGTTTTCCTTTAAGAAAATCTATTTGAGTATAATTTATTTCACAGTGAATGCTTTAGAAAAATCGTTCTCAAGTGATAAATTTATATATGTTTTTTTTCTGACGTTATTCCTCTTGGAGGTTTCCACAAAGCATTGTCATCTCAATCGTTTAGTCTTTTCGTTTGTTCTTACTTCCGCTAAATAGAAGATTGATCTGCAGTAGTCTGTCCCAGGTGATGAGGCTGTCACCTATTGTCGTCTGGAAACAAAACATCCTTGAAGTTCATTGTCATTTTCCCCATGGCACATCATTCTTTTGATGTCGCTTCTTGGCTATCAGAACGTCAAGGGTTTCGGAAGCATTTGTAAAAAACTCATTACAAATATTCGAACCTAATTCAAGAAGTTGTTCTCCACTGGGACTAGAACCTTATTATACCCTACACAACTATGTTGTCAGGGTATTATAGCTTTGTGCAGCCCCAAGAGTTTGTAACGCCGCGAAATATTGGTCCTAGACCCACCTTTAAGCATACCGATCGTCATATCTCGACTAGCTGAGTAGATCCAGACATGTGTGTCCGTCCGTCCGTCTGTCCATTATAATTTGTAAACACAAAACATGCCACAGGCCACAGTCATGGACCAATCTTCACGAAATTTTGCATGTAGGATGGGTTCGGCCCAATGAAGACCCCTATGGATCAAATACCAAATTTTTGTCGGTTTTTCTGGTAGTTCCAGACGCGAATTTTTGCATGGAGAAGAGGATTATGCCAGAGAATAAGCATGCATGTTTTGATAAAGATCGGTCAATATTTAGAGGGGCAAATGGATCCTGACTTTTGTGTGAAAAATGACAAAATTTCTATTCTCTAGCTTATATATTTATTCCTGAAGGACATAGAGCCGAGAAGTTGACAGTTTATCCAAAATGAGTTGTTGATAAATCGATATCAATTTTATTGTCGTAGGTACTCGGATGCGGGAATTACACTTAAATATTTACGGGTGCTTACATATTCAGATATTATTTAGTAACCCATTACCCCACTAGAGGGCGGAAATATAACGCTGATCGCTTTGAATTCTTCCATGAGGTTCTAGTTATGGTCAAGGACAATGCCTATAATTTTCGCTGATGATCAGATAAGAATATTGGAATGAAGTGGACCGAAAACTTAATTTTTTTGTGTTTTTTTTTTTAATCGATCTACAGGCCACAATTGAAAGCTCATCATCACAACATAACCCACGGTAAAGAAATTCTGAACAGGTACATCCCTCGTCTACTGAATATTATAAATAATTGTTGACATCTAGTCGGTCTAGAGGGTGCAAATATCTCGAAATATTGCCCAAGCTCTGAATATAGAACCATAGAAAGTTAGATTTTCGTCGAAGTTGTGTAGGGTATCATATGGTCGGCTCCGCCTGACTATACTGCTCCGCTCACTGGTTTAAAATAACATTCAATAAAAATTATTTTCGGAGGCGAGTTTTGTCAAATAAAATTCTTCTTGAGAAAATATTTTGTTTAATAAAATTGAAATCTTAATCGTAAACCTGATAGATATTTTATGCATGGATCAAGTTGTATTTCTTGTGATGAAGAACTCCAGAATTCACGCTCAGGTCTTGTATTAATAAAATTACATTATGTCTATAAAAGTCCTTTTGACCTTCTTCGTTACTAGAATAACTTGGGATATTTTTTGACATCATTGTAAAAATGTATAAAAAAGTATAGAATTGCTGAAACGTCCTCTCTTAAAAAAAAAGAAATAAACAAATGATGTGAACATTATAAAGAGCTATGCAGGCGTATGACTAATGTCAATACTTATACACCATATACACCTCTGTTTATTTGCATAAAATTTGGGTCAAAGGATCTGCCTTTTCCCTTAAGAACATTATCTACTCCTCTATAAAATATTATTTAGTGACCTTCTTGCATGCAGTATTTCAAAATCGATGCACAAGATTATTTTCTATGTAAAATGACCTACTGCGTCTTTGTATGTGACATGGAGAATATATCAATCATTTGCTGCAAGACAGGCATAACTAAAAAACATAGATTTTTTTATTAGAATAGAAATGTATTTATGGTTTATAAAAATATGTTAGTCATCTTCATAAGGAATCTTTTGCTAATTGCACATAGCGTATGACTACTGCCAGTACTTATACGTTTCATTGAACCTTGTAGTTGTGTGTGACGTATGACTACTGTCAATACTTATACGCATTATTGAACCTTGTATTTTTTATGTCGAAAATGTGCAATTATTTTCGACATCTTTTTTAATATTTATCTATTTAAAATATTGAAATTCTTTAGTAATAATATATTTCATACTTACTTGTAACATAAGTGCATGTGGTGTATGTACAAAATATGATACATTTCCTTTGGGTGCTGATTGTAAACATAGTTGACCATCGGTTGCTACTGGATTATACATGAATACAATGGCATTCGATAGTTTGCCATCGTATAATACCTAAAGGTGTGAGGGAGAAAAAAATAAAACAAAATTAGTAACAATATAATTCAGATTTTATAACAGTTTTAGAATTAGTTCCTTCCTAATCGTAAGCTGCCTTCTATATATAGCCCACAAGCTGGATTAAAATCTGGAGAAAAAAATCTAGGTTACTTGGATTATATAAGGTAACAAATCGAGCTCTAATGTAATAAACTCAAATAATGTTAAAATCTTGTATTTTTAATAGTAAATAAAAAATCTTCAGTTACGGCATATTTTTATCATGACCCATGATATATGATGACTGACAAATTATTTATAGGTAAATATTTTGTTTTACTTGTCCAAAAATTTTAAATATTTTGTCGTTATATTTTTAAATTGGCCTAATTTTAATTAAGTTGGTTTTGCTTTACAAAATTTTCATATTTTGTTTTTTTTTTCATCCTCTTCTAAATACAAATCCTACACTAGATTTAACCTACAACTAAGTCTATGCATTTTCTTTCGTAATTTTGTGGTTTTTCTTCTTAGTTAGTATAATAATGGCAGCCCCTTGAATGGTAGAAATCCCTTAAAGATCACAAAGCTTAAATAAGCAAATGCCACTAGATAAAAATAAATCAAAAACGAAAAATGAATATAAACACACACGCACACACACATAGGCACTCCATGGGCATATAAAATACCTTGTGGTATTAGCAGTAGTAGCATCAGAAGTGGTAGTACGTAGTAGGCGGTGGTAGTTGGCTGGATTGTAAGATTATGTGGTTGTTATACACTTAGCTTGTGGGATTTTTTTTGGGATTGACATTTTTTCTAAAACACACTACAAAACTACATTCCCAGTGAACACATGTTTAGCGAACTTTTTTTAGTGACTTCAATGGAATTTTTCGCTTGAAATACTTCGTATATTTTTTATTAATAAATTTCAGAAATTAAAATTAATTTTGTTTTGACTTTTTTACTTTCAGTTCCAATGATTTTAAAACTATTAATAAATTTCTTTAAATTAACCTACTATACAGGTACATGGTGTCGTATTGTTATTGACAGTACTTATAGGGCACATACACCTTGTATGAAAAGATCGACTTATATGATGATATTCTAGCCATTTTTATAGGAAATGAAAGGGCATATTTAATTTTATATACTTTCCTTAAAATATTTAAGTTCAA